GCCACGGCAACCAGGCGCATCCAGGACACACACAGGCAGGGCCTCATGCCCGAGCGGGCTCTTCCCAGGAATGTACATGGGTCCACACCAAACACCATTTGAATCCACTCAATGTGTGACCAGAGGCCAGTCCTGGACTGTGCCCCTCGTCTCTACCTGCCATGGGGCCATAACAGGCCCAGGCCCTTGGGGACGTGCAATAGGCACTCAAGAGTGAGTGAGCATTAACCCACTCCTGCCCCTGCCCTGTCTTGCCAGGCCACGTCGAGGCACTGCGGGCAGAGTAAGGGCACACAGTGGAAAGGAGGGTGTGGCGGCAGACAGCCACACCAATACCTGAGCCCTGGGGCACGCAGCTTTGGGCAAGCGCAAGATACACAGGGACGTGACAGGGGGCCACAAACGAGAGCCCAAAGATGACACCAACCATCAATCACCCAGGATGAGAGGCTTGATTTCACTGGTTTATTTACTGGTTTTTAATTGCATGCTGGACTATATGCAAATTTACTTTCTTTATAAAAATACAGAAGACTCATTACAATCCCTCAATAAATGAGGCGCGTTTAGGAGAATCTGAAAGTGCACCATGGCTGTGGGAGGCTTCTGGGACACGGCAGCCTGCTGCCCCCAAGACATCTGGAGGACCCCAAGGCCACCTGCCGTTCTCAGGCTCACTGCGTTTGGACTTGTCCTGGCAGCCCTCCTCGTCACAAGACGAGCTTCCCCACACAGTCACTCTGCAGCAGGGAACTCCCAACTGTCCAGGCAGGACATCAGGACACAGGCGGGCAGGGACTGTGGCACTAAGGGGTAGGATAGGGAGGGAGAAAGGAGGCCAGGACACCATTCCTGCTGAGCCCTGCATGGTGTTTTGGGCACTAGACCTGAGTACTCGTGTCACAGAAGAGAGACCTCAAATACAGACAGGTCACCACACCTGGCCAAGGACACTCCACCAGTCAGCCACCAGGGACAAGCCATGTCTGCTAGCTGGGACCTGCTGGAGCCCTGCAGGAGCTTTAGGGGGGCAGCTGCTGACCTTGCAGCCAGCCCCAGCTCTGGGCAGGTGGCTACACCACGCCTTGGGCTGGGCTCCTCACGTCCCACTGCGGCTCCAAGGCACAGCTCCTCCTCCCCAGAGCCCAGAGGTCAGGCAGGGCCTTCCTTCCGTGCCCTGGCTCCTAGCGTCTGCAGAGCTCCGGCAGGCTCCCCTGGCTACAGGCTGCAGGGCTGTGGGAAGGGCTGGGCTCCTCTCCCAGCCCCACCCTCTCCATGGAGGCTGACCTGCCCAGGCACTGCTGCTGGGAACAGTGGCCTGAAGCTCAGCCACAGGAGCAGACACAGCCCATGCTGTGGGTGACACCCAGCCATGGAATGGTCAAGAAGCATGACCTGCAGGAGCCATGGAGGGCAGAGGGCAGGGTAGGCATGATGTCTGAGCCTGAGGCTGGGGGCTGGACGCTGGGAGCAGCCCCCAGCACCCCCTGCCCCTAGACCCCAGGCTCTGAGCACACATTGCTATGGTCTGACTCATGTTTTTAAAGACCACCTTGACCTCTGCATAGAATCAACCATTAGCACAAGATGAGAGGTGGGAGGACAGGTGGGGGCGGGGAAGGGGTACAGTGGTTGGACCAGATGGTCACATCGTAGGGGGTGAGAAGTGGTCAGGCAGGATTTCTCAAGAGGAGAGAGGATGGACCAGTTGATGGCCTGTGAGAATGGAGGCCTCTGACTGAGAGGTCCCGGTGGACAGGCCAGCCAGGAGACAAGAGGGTGCCGTTGGAGGGCCACCAGTAGAATCTGAGTACCCAAGAGGGATTCCAAGCTGTGAGGCAGGCAAGACAGGAGGAAGGGAGGGGGAAAAGGGGCCAGAGAAAGGCAAGCCGGCTGGGGCCCAGGGCAGAGCATCCACCAGCAAAGCAGCAGCTCAGGAGGGCGGGGCCGCCCGGCAGAGGAGACCTCCGAGGGAGAACGTCAACCCCGTGAAAGCGTGGGCCAGGAACCTGACAGACATTCCTCCAGAAAGACACATATGGCCAACAGCACAAAAGAGGAGCTGGACGTCGTGTGCCATCAGGAAAGCACTCATCAGGGACAAGGAGATGCCACCTCATTCCTACCAGGAGGACCAAATCTGGAGGGCAGTGAGAAGCGGCGTCAGGAGGTGGAGAGCCCAGAACTCTAGCCTGCCAGGGGCAAGCAGGGGGCAGCTCCCTCACCACCCTCCCCTGGCTGGCCGCCGCCCCTGCAGGCACTGCCTTGAGGCTCTTCACAGCTGCACCTCAGGCCACCTTCCTGTGGGGTGCCCAGAGGTGCCAGGTTCGGTCTCACCTGTGAAGTGAGGGAGCAGGGATGCTCCAGCCCCACCTTGGCCTCTGTCCACCCACAGCTCCCTCTACTCAGGTCCCTGCTCCTCAGCCACCTGAAATTCTCATCCCCAGCGCCCAGGGAGAGGGTCCCTATCAGACAGGCCAGGCCATGAGGTCAGCTCCTCACACCCAGCTGGCCATCCATTCACCATAGAGACTTGGTAAAACCTGAGGTCATTCCCTCACCTAGGAATTTTTATGGGGGCTGTGAGCCTGATATGGGGCAAGAGAGGCCCAGACCCCCTCCAGCCAGCTCCGCTGCATGTTCTGGGTCATTTCCCAGATCGGGGGAGGCAAACAAGAGGGCCATTTCTCCAAAAGCCCTGCACAGCTCTGACTTGGTCTTCCATGCCATCAATATGGTCTGGCCCAAGCCTAACACCTTCTCCCTGCCAGTCTCCCAGCAGGGCCCTCACAGAGTGGCAGTGGCCTCCTCTGGCTCCTCAAACTCACCCTGGTTGACACTGCTTCAGGGCCTGTGGTGGTGTGAGAAATGGCTGCAAAATCTTTGGCTTGCCTCTCCCCAAGAAGTAGAGTTCTCATCCTTCTCTTAAAACCCAGGCAGGCTTTGACCAACAAAGAACAGGACTGACCCCTGGCAACTTCTAAGAGGGACTATGAAGGACGAGACATCTGCCTTTTTTGCTGGAGTGTTCGCAGGAGGCCTGGGCTAGCAGGAGAGGAGGTGGCCATTCGGCCACCATGCCGGCAGGGAGCCCCACTGCCTAGGGAGACCAGGCAGCTGCTCCAGGGGACAGTCCCAGCAGAGCTGAGACCTGAGACATCCCAGGTGCCAGTCCTGGGCATAAAGGAACCTACAAATGATCTAACCACCCCTGCACACACCCCACCCACCCCAGGGCTATAAATAGTCCCAGTGCGGCCCAGACAAAGGCCTCCCCACTGCTCATGCCAGACCCTGACCCACCAACTCGGAGGCGTTTCATCCCACTGTCATTGAGGTCCTGCGTGCGGTCCAGCTCCAGGGCTGCTTGACAGCTTCCCCACCCACCCCCGAGCAGACTCCACATCCATGAACTCCCATCCAAGCCTCCCTGGCAGCAAGCAAGCCCGAGGACAGTCAGACACAACCCTTGCTCACTCTGCTCCCAGGCAAGGCCCTCCCCTGTCTCCGTTTCCCCACGAGCCATGAGGGGGCTTAGGTCTGGACAGCCAACCCTGTTCTGAGCGAGTCAGGTCATGGGGGCTCTGGAAGGCAGGTGGACAGGTCTGTGGCAGAGGAGCAGAGACACCAAGGTACGCTTCTGGCCCCAGAGCCAAGGTGGGTGCTGCTGCTGGAGCTGAGGTCACTGCGGGCCAGGCCCTGCGTCAGGCCACCTGCCCACTCCGCGGACAGCCCTCTCCTCTCCAAGGCCCACGTTTGGGGATAATGTCTTCACTAACCAGGCAGGTAGCCCAAGATACGTAAGTGAAGGCCACCTGGACACTCCCACCTTCTGGTCCCAGGGATACTCAGGAGACAGGCAGTGACACAGGGTTAAACACAATGATGTCACTGGGAATTGTTCCTAGTAACCGGCCACATTACGAGTCACACGCATCCAACAGCATCCACAGCCCCCACCACGAGCACATCTTCAAAGTCCCTGATGAGATGCAGGCACACCACTCACCCCAAGTGCAAAACGCTGCTTCCAGAACACTCGCTACTTAAACCCAACTCTGGTGTTGGCCTGAGGATATGAGGAAAGGCGCCAGAGGCACCACGTGTCACAGTGGCTCCTCAGATACTCTGAAGGTCCACGCTTCCTGGAATGGGCATCCAAAGCCTCTCTCACAACCAGAAACAAGGACTTCATTTTTACCAAGATCAAAAACGGATAGCAGGCGATGTCTGCCAAGGTCCGCTGGTGCCAGGAACACAGGGCACCTGCACGCACGGCCACTCCCTGGAGTGAGGACGGGGATGTCCCACGCCCTCACCCACAGCTCTGTGCAGGAGACACAGCAGGCCCTCATTGTGGTAGGTCCAGAGAGCAGCTCTGCTGACCGGGGATGAAGCACTCCGCATCCCTGCAGGCCAGAACCAGGACAGGTCCAGACTAGCTGGGATGGCACTGCTCATGCTGCCTGGAGAGCAGGGCTCCAGCCTGCAGGTCCCCAGAGCCCTGCAAGCCCACAAACCTGCCCAGCAGCCCAGGTGGAAGGAGCCTGCCCTTCTCCTCCCAGCCCACCAGGTCCTGGCTTAGCAGACAGCACCACCCGTGCCTCTCTTCTGGGGCTCAGACCTCATCCCAGCCCAGTCCTGCCCAGGGGAGGCTGACAGTGACTCTCTATGGAAGCCCAGTGGGACTCCCACAGGTGCAGAATCAAAACCAGGGGTCCCCACTCCAGCCCAGCCTGTGTGTCCACAGGTGTGCACATATGTGCAGGCCTGTCAGTGAGCCTGGGGCACTGCAAAGACCCCCTGGAGCATGCTGGTGACACGGAGCGTGTGCGAGCTGGCACGCACACCACCTGAGCACAGGTGTGTGTCTCAGCAGCGTCCACTCCACCTAGACGCCCACCGGGGGAGGGTGCTCACGTCTCAGGAGAGGCAGTTTAGGGTGAAGCTGCATGTGTGCGGCACCATGCACAGGCGCAGGGATGGCAGTTGCCACTCACAGGCTATCCCGAAGCTCCTGTGTGTCACTCGGTGTCCCCAAGGACCGGAGGCTCCTCTCCAAGGAGGTCACTGTCCAACAAAAGATGGGAAAAGCACAAGGATTAGAAGGACCCTCCCCAACCCATTGCCCTCTGCGTGGCCATAGTGGAAACTGGGCCCTGCATCAGAGACAGCCAGACCACTATGTGACCTGACACCAGGGCACAGCAGCCTCCTACAGGCTGGGTCCACCCCTCCTAGCAGAGGCCTACCCAACCCCCACAGGACCTTCTCCCCTATTGTGCCGGAGCAGGCCCAGGCCCAGGTACAGTCCACCCAGAGCAAGCCCACCTGGGCCTGGGGAAGGCCTGTCCCTCTCCCAGGGATGTCTGGGGTGTGGCTCTTGCTCCCCATCCTAGCCTCAGTGATCTCTGTTCCACCAGCCCTGCCATCGGGGTTCACTCCTTCCTCCCAGGGATCCCTACAGCCACAGAGCCAGTGAGGAGAGCCAGGGTGGGACAGGATCGAGGAGGAGAAGAGCTGACTGGACATGCAAGCAGCCCCCAGCTGCCCCCAAGAACCTGGGACTGTGGAAGGCAGGACAGTAGGGGCAGGGCAAGGTCAGGTACCAGCTAGCCTCCGATGTCACCTCAGTGACCCAGAGCAGCCAGGAGAGAGGGGGCAGGCAGATGGCATACCATTGGAGTGGATTTGGAAGACACTGGCTGAGGTCTCCTGGCTCAGCTCCTGGAGGTCACGAGGAACAACCTGTGTGGCTAGAGGAAGACAGGAGAAGAGGAGGCACAAGATGACCATGCTGCCTGTATGACCGGCCCCTCCAGCCTCTCCAGGTGGTTCCCAGAGGAGGGAGCCAGAGGCCCAGCTGCCCTGCACGCCACCCCTCCTGCCTTCCAGCTCTGCTTCCACAGGCAAAGGGTCAGGACAAATACCACCCCTGCCCTCCCAGGACCCAAGCTGGGGGGAGAGGCGGCTCCTCAAGGAGAGGGGACGTGGAGGCTCCGCACCCCAGCAGTAGCCTCCTGGGCACGCACATAAGGACTCCCATTCACACAAGACTCACACAAGAAGGCTCAGAGCAGCGCTGCTAGGTGGGAAGGAGGAGACTTCCCGCATGCCGTCAGGCCACCAGCAAGGACAAAGACGGGGCCTAGCTACACTGCAGAGTACTGCTCCACTGCTCAGCAGTAAGAGGAACGAGTCCTCCAAACACCAGGCTGGGGACAGATGCCACCAAATGTGTGATCCCATTCACACCACACATGCAGAGGTGGCAGCCCACAGAGATGGAGACGGCGGCTGCCAGCAGTCTGGGAGGGGGCGGTGACGCTAGCACAGGCCCAGCTGCCCCGGTGGATGGACACGCTCTGCAGTGGGAAGGTGGAGATGGCCACACAACCCTGTGACCGCACCAAGGGTCCGTGACTAGCATACTTTAAGAGTCCATCATAGGCTTTGTGCTAAGCACTTTTATCTCAATGTAACAAAACCACAGAAATCGACGTGGGGAAACTCCAAGTGCTGGGGAAGACAGTGTCCAGATGCGCACTGCTGGGTGACTGTGCAATGTGCAGCCATGCAACGAAGGTCTCGGCCACAGACACCAGGACACCTGCTGCCCTGCGGCCAGCCATCACACTCTGGACACCTACACAGAGAAACAAAGCCGAGGCCGCAGGAACCCTGGGTAAGAGAGTCCGTGGCAGCTATTCCTAAGAGCCCACCCTGGAAGGTGCAAGTGCAGGGGATGCAGGAGACTGGCAGGCACGTGTGCCCTGCCTGCGGGGGCGCCCTGGGCGTGACACTGTGCCAGGCGTCAGAGTGCACGGTCAGATCTCCAACAGAGAAAAGCAGTCTATGGTGGCTGGGGCTACGCTGGGCTGGGCTGGGGCAGGGCAGCAGGGACTTGCTGAATAGGGGAGGCCCCGTGCCTGGACAGGGCTGTGGGCAACACAGTGCAGGCATCTGCCAAAAGGCCCAGAATAGTACCATTTGGTTGCCTGCAGTTCACGCACTTAAAGTTCACCTCAAAAGGAAAGGAGAGGCAGTAACCAGGAAGTGAAAGGAGACCCGAGGGCTTCAGCTGCTCCAAAGGGCTCAGAGGCACGAGGAGGGCCAGCTGGGATGGCAGCAGGTGGGATCTAGGCAGTGGTGCACCCATGGTCACACTGCAACCCTTTCCACCTTCTCTGCGCTCACAAGTCTCCAAGATAAAACACTTAAGACTGAAGGACACGGAGCGAGGTCTGCCAGGGCATGTGGGGCAGGAGACACCAGGATGCCAATGGGTTGCTGTGGTTCAACTATGAGGTATCCACTCAAGCTCCTGTGTTGACATAGCAGGGGAAATAATGAATCATAAGAGCGATAACCCCATCAGCGGATTAATTCACTTGATGGATTAATAATGGGGCATGGCTGGGAAAAGTAGGCCACCAGGGGGTGTATCCTTGGGGATCATATCTTGTCCTCTGACTACTCCTTCCTTCAGCGACCATGATGTGAGCAATTTCCCTCCACAGTGCACTTCACCATGATGCTCCCCACCTCACCTGGGGATCCGAGCGATGGACTTGGCTAGCCATGGGAACCTCTGAAACTGTAAGCCAAATAAACTTCTCCTCCTCTAAACTGTCCTTGTATTCTGTTCACAGCAATGGAAAGCTGACTAACACAGAAACTGGTACCAGGAGTAGGGTCACTGCAGTGACTAACATGACCATATGGTTCAGAAGCCTTTGGAACTTGTTCATAGGAGGAGTTTGGAAAAGATTAGAGATGCAGGCTGGAGAAAGCTCTGAATGTTGTGAGCAGAGCTTAAAGTGCTTCTGGTGGGAGCCCAGAGGACCAGAACCCCAATAGGAACGCAGACAGTAAGAACTACGCTCATGGAGTTGCAGAGGGGAATGAGGATTCCATTGGGAACTGGACTAGAGATGTTCATGTTACATTCTGGCAAAAAAAGTTGTCTCCATTCTGTCCTGAGAGTTTGTGTAAGGCTGAACTTACAGTTGGTGGACTCACTAATCTGGTGGAAGGAAACTTAGGCAGCATTAAAATTAAAACCACAGCTTTGAGGCAGTGGCTCGGATGTTGCCAGCAGCTTTTAGCCAGGTTTACTAGAAGAATCAAGAACACAAGGCAGAAAGAAAAGATCTGAAAAACTTGCAGTTTGGCCAAAGGAACACGTAATATTAGGGCTCAGGAAGATGTGGGTGTTGAAGAGATGACTGCCACTAAAGAGAAACTAAGTACTTTGCCTAGAGACAATAGGACAATGCTGTGAGGCCATCTCAGGAACTAGAACACCACGCCCATGGCAGGTTCAAGGGTGCAGAAGTGAAAGAGATCACAAAGGCACCCTGCTTTCACAGGGGACCTAGAAAGCTGTTTCCCCAGGATTCATTTCACGGGGTTTGGCTGCCCAGGCACTCCCAGGACACTGTAGCCATGGTCCAAGGGAACCCAGCTACTGCTTAACCTGGCAGCAGACTTTGGCATCATCCATGTGGAGCTGGTTCTGCAGCAATGCACAATGCTGGAGGTGGAGGCCCAGAGGCTTCCCCTGGACTTCAAAGGAAAGCCTGAGAGGACAAGGGCAGCAGGGTCAGAATCCCTGCCGCTGGCCCTGAGAGGACCATGTGCAAAGCCAGGACAATGAAGCACAAACTGTAGTGGAGACCCCCAGGAGATCCCCAGGAGACCCCCCCAGGAGACGCCCCAGGAGACCCCCAGGAGACGCCCCAGGAGACCCCCAGGAGATGACCCAGGAGACCCCCAGGAGATGACCCAGGAGACCCCCATGAGATCCCCCAGGAGACCCCCAGGATACCCCCAGGAGACCCCCAGGATACCCCCAGGAGATCCAATAACATGCAACACCTGCCAAGGAAGGCTCTGGCTGTGGTCAGAACAGGCCTAGAGAAGCCACGTGGGTAAGAAAGGCCACGGAGGCGGCTGCCTAACCCTGCGGAGAGGAGATCTCACCACTGGGTGCTCCAGAAGTCAGACAGGAAGCTACAGCACTTTTTTGCCTAACTGGGTTTCGATCTTCTTTTGGTCCCAGCCTTCTTTGTAGGCCTCTGAGCCTTCCTTTTGGAACTGGAATATTTATCCTAGGCCAATGTATATTGGATATATATAATTTGCTTTTGATTTTTACACTGGCTCACAAGCAAGAGTTTACCTTGAGTCTCAGAGGAGACCTTGGACTTTTGCTGGAAATATAAACTATGGGGACTCTTGGAGATGGACTAAGTGTACTTTGCACTGTGAGATGGACATGAGCTTTGGGGGGCCAGGGTGGAATGCTATGGTTTGCATGTGAGATGTCCCCCCCCCCCAAGCTCCTGTATTAATTCAGGAAGTAAAATGGTGAGATTAAATTAGCGCTGTAACTTAGTGGACTAATAATGTGAATGGATTACTGGGCGTTGACCACAGGCAGGTGGGGTGTGCCTGGAAGAGGATGTGCCCTAGAGGGATATATCTTATCCTCCTGGCTCCTCTTCTGTTTCTGCTTCCCAGCCACCAAGAGCTGAGCAGCTTCCCTTTGACACTCCCTTCTGCCATAATGTCCTGCCTCACCTCAGGCCAGAGCAATGCAGTTGGCTGACTTCGGAAACCCAGAGCCAAAGTAAACTTTTCCTCCTCTAAGTTGTCCTTGATAGCTGTTCTTGGTTACAGCAATGAGCAGCTGGTTAGCACAGGGAACACCCAAAGGTCTGCGCTCTCTGAGCCAGCCTACGAGCCTAGAACAAAGTACCCCCTCCTGGGCTTGACGAGGTTTCTCCCTAGGCCACAGGCCCAAGCCCACTCCACAGAGTCACAGGGCTGGCTGGACCACGGCAGGGTCGGCCCTGCCTCTCTAGAATGAGCACACCCTGCTGAGGCACCAGCTCCTAGGCTCACAGGCCTGCCACGTCCCTCCCCTGCCAAGCCCCCAGGTCCAGCTGCTGTACTCAGCACAGCCTGGAAGCACAGCGAGGCTGCTCCACTCATGTCGCTGGCCTGAGAAACAGCGTCTGACAACCCTGCACACACCACTGCTGCACCTGCAAGGCGCTGGAGCCCCGCGATGCCTTCACCAAGCCCAGGCTCACGATGGACACAGCCAGGGCAGCAAAGAAAGGGACAGGACAGGATGAGCTGTGCCCATGGTGGAGGAGGGACCACCACTCTCCAGCAGAAGCACACAGAAGGAGCCCAACGACCAGAGTGCCACTCTCCCCACTTACAGATAAAGAGACCCAGGGCAGAAGCAGGAGACCCACCCAAGGCCACACCACCCACCCAAGGTCACACCACCAGAAAGGGGGTCTGACCTCGGGAAGGAAAATGTCAACCATCCAGTCCTGGGGGCTGCCCTTGCCCCTTCCAAATTACCTGTTGGAGGCTTTCAGCCAAAGTATTGTGCATGAACTACCATAGTCACGTGGGCAGGCTCCAAGGCCCAAGGTGGCTGTCCATTCTGCAGGATTCAATTCAGGGCTGGAGGAGGAGGGGTGGCCAGAGCTGCTGTACAAAGAGCACCCGTCCTGGGAGGAGGCAGGACCCCAGCGATCAGGCATCCTCCTCACTGCCACCCCTCAGCCAACTCATGAGGCAACACTGCCGGGCACTGTTCACTGCTAAGGAACCTCTGGTGTTATGGTTCGGATGTGAGACGTCCCTCAAAAGTTCATGTGTGAGAAAACGCAAGAAAGTTTAGAGGATACATAATTAGGTTATGAGAGCCTTAACGGATCAGTAAATTAAT